TTTCACCATGGTTTCACTGTGAACAGCCCATGAAGAGGCCCCCACAGCTTGTGAACCGTGGGTTGCGCGGCATGGCTTGTCATTTTGCTGGGTTCGGACAACAGGATAACCCTAAGTTTGAACCGCCTTGCATGGTTCAGCAACAGCCAACAGGCTGTCCTTGGGTGTGAGAACTCGTGTTGTCGGGACCGGGTCTCCATGTCTCTTGCCAAACCCTTGCGAAACTCGACCACTGGGTCTGCAGACTGGAAAACCTGCGGCCGGGTTCACAACATGACTTGGAGAGAGCCCTGTGGGCCAAGCGAGGGCAGAGGTGGGTCTCCAGGCGTTCTGGACCTCGGCTCCAAGCATCCCCGGCGCCTTGCCGTGCTGGAAAAGCTTTGGGGAACTGAAGGCCCAAACGTCTGGGGGTGACCCTTCTGTCCACCCCAGCTGCGGGCCATCGCGTACACAGGCCCCTTCAACGCACAGGGACCACCTACCCAAGAAGTCCGTGCCGGAGCTGTGAGCAGAACCACACCGGTCCTTCCCCCACCCATTAGACCCCACTGCCTCTTCCAGTAAACAAATTATCGGGGAGGGGGGGATCCCCCTGGCAGATTTAAACAAAAGCAGTGATTATTGTATTGTAAAACCCTTCCTAGCTAATTGGCATCCACTCCCAACTGCGGAGATCTGCAGGGGAAGTCTGTCTCTCCTTCCCCCTGCAGGGAAGGGCAATTAGCCCGTTAGCTAATTAACCACTCCGGGGTAATTACCCACTCCTAAGCTGCTATGCAGACAGCCACCGATTAAAGAAATGACACGTCTAAATACTTTAAGTCTCTAAAGGAGCAAGACGTCTATAAAGGGTATTACGGATTCTACCTTTGCGGTGACGCCTCTCGCTGGTGGGGGCGGCTGAGTTCTCCCCCCACCTGGAGGCAGACAAGCCTGAGCCCTTCCATGCGCCACATCCATCCGCCCAGGACGGCGATCCCATGGCCTGCCCAAGAGGCTGCGCAGGACGGCCACTTCCCTCTCCCGGAGGGACCCCTGCCCCATGGCAGAGCAGCCATATGGGTCCAGTCCCTGGCCACCCCAGCTTTGGACAAAGCAAGGGGTCAGAACCATCCTCCGCAGACTGGAGGCAGGCCAAGCAAGCGAAGGCGCTCGTCTCCTTCGGGCCCCTTAGACATTGGGAGAGAAAGCGAACGAAAAGGAACTCACAGCGCTGAGCACCGCTTCCACCACACGCGGCCAGGCTGGCTTCTGGGTGCCCCGCACAGGATTCAGGAGAGGGTCTTTTCAGGGGTGGCTCCCCGTGGCAGAGCGAGCCCCCGACACTGCCCCGCGTGAGGCGCAGCGATCTCTGTGGAGAGCGCTCCTTGCGCATGGCTTTGCGCAGAGGGCTGCTTCCGCCACCTAAATCGAGTGCTGCGGGGCAAGGAAGCACGGGGGAGCCGGGGCAAAAACCATCCAGCGGTTGCTTTTCCACCCTCTGAGGCGCCTGGGCAGGGCGGGTGGGCCGGACGTTCAGCCTGTGGGCACCCCTGCTCCGAAAGTACAAGATCTCACCCGCCTGGATGACAGTGGAAGGCTATACATTTGAGAGTCAGTTTTAATTTGCGTAGGTTAAATCGGGAAGGGGAGTTGCTCTTTTTCATGATGGTTTTATGCCGCAGCCTTAACTTCCAACTCTGGCTTATCGCGATGTACCGGGTGGCATGAATTCTTGGGGAACTGCCTGCAGAGCCTCAGCCTTGAAAAGTAATAAAGTAGAATAAGTGACAAACCGTTTGTTTTTAACAATCCCCATTATTTTATCTGTGATGTAAGCTGCTCTGGGAAGGAACGGAATGCAAATGCCACTCCGACGGCCTTCCTTTCCCTTCCCAGACAGCCTTTCGGGGCTTGCTTAGTTACTGCTCAGCGGTTTCGTTTGCATTTTTGCTGACTCTCCAATGGTTGTTTTGTTCAGCAAAAATGGTACTTTTCCATGAGTAACACTAACTGAGCGTCTCCGTTTTGGGGAACGTGGGGCGGAAGACGACCCTACAACAGGATGGGGGTACAACTGCACCACCCCATCCATGTTCCCAAGCAACTGGTGCTCACAGGCACACTGCCGCAGATACTAGAGGTTGCGGAGGACCATGAGGACTAGCAGCTTTTATTTAAGAGCACAAAAAGAGCCATCTTTAGTCAGACAAAGGTCCATCTAGCCCAACATTCTGCTCACACGGGGAAGCCACAAGTAGGTCAGGGGTTCAACAGCACTGTCCCACCCATGTTCCACAGCAGCTAGGGCACACTGGAGGTACCTGATGGCCATGAGGACTAGGAGCTCATGAATTCATCCAGTTCCCTTTTGAAAGCCAGCCAAAATGGTGGTCATCACCCCATCTTGTGGAAGTGAAGTTCATAGTTTCATGATGTACCATATAAAAAGCCCTTCCTTTTATCCATCCCAAATCTCCTGCCATCCAGACTCAGGGAAAAACCCCTTTGGGTTCTAGTAAGAGAGAGGGAGAAAAATTCCCCCAGTCTCTTCTCCCCATAATTGTTCTGGCCGGGTCTGGCTTTTTCCTAAGCTAACCCCCTGCCATTGCAGCAGCTTCCTCTAACTCCTCGATCATTCGACTTTCTCTTTTCTCCCCTTTTCCCTGCCAGAGAAGTTAGTTTTCCTCTTCCATCCAGATCCCTCTTTCCTCTTGTGTCATCACTGTCTTGACTGTAAGTCCTTGCGGGTAGAGCCTCTCTTCCTTGATTGGTTATAGGCAACCCATTATTGGGACTAAGGAGGAAGATAAAATCTTCCAGATAAACACAGGTTTTTTTACACATGTCCTGCTCTTGCTTTTGGTGTCTGCGGAGATGTGGGCATCAAGGTGCTTTGCATTACTTTCAGCTGTTCGAGCTTTCAAGAAGAAAAGAAGGTGATCATTGATTTAAATGGCTGGATTAAGAAGAGGTGAGAAATTGTGCCTTCTCTTTCCATCTCGCAACTCCCAGTTCATCCAGAGCTGCCCACCTTCCTCAAAGGACGGAGGGGCTGCACCGCAGGGGTGTTGCTGGGACATCAAAGACGCTGGAGACAGACCCACAGGGAACACCCGGGCCCCAAAATGGTGCAAGCGAACGCCCCTCTCTGCGTGCAAAGCCAGAAATCATTATGAAGGGCTCTGAAAAGATTGCAGGAGGCGAAACCAAGCCGTCCCTCTCTTATCCAGACCATCGCCCATAAAATGCACGATTCAGCTCATTCCCCCTGGACTCAGATCCTTCCAAACCGACCGAAAACTTTCCGCTCCTGCATTTGGGGGGGGGGGGGGGGGTGAGCCTGCTGCAGCTGGCAGAGAAGGGGGGCTGAACCCCCACCTGCAATTCCCCCTTGAATAAGGCACCTTTATATTCGAGAATACGAAGCCCGTGGCCCCCGGGGGGCACTCGGGGCTCGACAGAACCCTTCGGGGGCCGCCATCCCCAGCAACGCCTTTGCTACACGGAGCGGGGAAGGCAGCCGAGGGGCTCGCTGGGCACTTCTCCGCTGATGGGGGCCGGAGTCACGCGGGGTGAGGAGGGGCTGCTGGAGCGAAAGCGCCAAGCCAAAACAAACCGGAAAGGACCTGCGGCTCGCCGACTGTTCTGGGCCGATGCCCGAGCCGACCTCCCGAAGTCGTCACGTTCCCTGGAGCCGTGAAGTAGCTAAACAAGACCCTGGGAGTCCCCTTGGGGTCCAGGAGCAGGCTTCCCCAACCGCAGGGGTCTGGACCTCGCGGGACTCCAGCCCCCCTCATCCCCAGGCAGTGTAGCCGACGGTCAGGGCTCATGGGAGTTGCAGCACCTCTCCGCAGCCCTCCATGGCCCAGCCGGGCTTTCCTCTGGAGAGGAGCCCTCAGACCCCTGAATAGAAGGACGTGGGCCAGGAATCGGCCAGCGCCCCCCTCTCTGAGCAGCCGGGGAGACATGGAGGAGGCGGCCGCTCCGCTCAGTCGCCCCTTTTGCACAAGTCCTCCCCCCGCGGCCCATCGGATCACCACCACAAACAGATCCCCAACGCCTGATAGACTGCTGCTGGAAATGGATGCTCCACGGCTGGCTCGCCTGCTCCGATTCCTCGCTGCTAACCCATCTAACACAGAGAGTGGCCACTGCGGGGAATGAGCCCCTGCTTTGCACGCAGAAGGGGACATAATGACCAGCCTGAACCCTTGGAGGAAACAGCCGAGTCCTTGCTGATTCGGTCAGGCTGGGCGCTTCAGCCTGCAGGGAGGGCCCTGCTACGATGAAAAGAGGGCACCTTGACATTAAAAAATCCCTGCTCACGGAAAGGTAGCATGTCAGGGGTGCCGGCCCTGGCTGAGCTTGCTCCCTGGGATGCTAGCTTTCTGCAGGAGAGGGACACCTCCAGCTCTCCGCCTGCACGAGGCCTTTTCTCTGAGGAGCCGGGGGCTCAGCGTGGGGGCGGGGGGCGTAATGCGGCTGCTCCGCTCGCAGAATGGGAACGCCCCCGTGCAGCGGCCCTTTCTCTGCCGCCAAGGAAAAGGCCGCACAGCAACGGCGGGGCAGCTGGGGTGCTCGGTCCAGCCGTTTCCTAGAGGCCAGGCGCTGCTGGTTCCACGGGGAAGAGCCCAGTGGTGGGACACGTGCTCGCTGGGCAAACTCCTGCCTGAAGGAAGCCCTGGGGGGGTGGGGGCAGCTGCCGGGCAGAGCCGGCAGCACTGGGCTGGGAGGGTCAAGGGTCTAACGCAAGACAAGGCAGCCTCCTCCGTTCCACCAGACCGGGCAGCGCCTGCTCGGTGGGCCCGGGGGCAGCCTGCGCTCCAGGTTTCATGCTCTGCACCGGGCGAATCAACTTCTCTTCCCCTCAGTTTTCCCCCTCTGTGAAATGGGCACCCACACAAGCCACCTCACAGGGCTGTCATGGCGGGGGAAAGGAATGAAGGCAGACCACCTCTTCGGGGATCTGTTAGGGATTTCACGGGGACAAGCCACAGCGATCCTTTTTTTCCACCAACCTTGGAGTGCCCATTGAGCTCTTCACTGTTCGAGAGAGTCGTGTTGAGGGCTTCCGTGTACTGGCTGGGCTCCTTGGGCTTCTTCCGCTCCTTCTTCGCCACGGCCACTCGGAAACGAGAGAACTCCTGGCACAGCAGCGCTGCCAAAATGAACCAGCTCCAGCATCGTATCTTGGCCTTGTTGGACATCTTCCTTCTCGGTGGGATGATGAGAAAGAGAGAGAAGCGAGGAGGAAAGCGGATTTTTACACAATGCTCCTTCCTTCCTCGTCCCCAGGGGAAAAGTTTATTCGCCTCGGAGCGAAGCCACACGCATCTCGGATCGCTTTGGTACCCTGCCTCCGCTTTGGACGGCCGAGCAGGCTAGACGTGCAGAACCGACCCACAGATGCAGAATTTACTCCTGGCACAATTACCGCTCCAGACGAATGCCCGGAACCATGCCAGTCGGGGGATGCAAACAGCCAGCTGGCTGGCCACCCTGTAATCTCCAGGAGGAAAAAGCAAATTTGCAGGCACCGAAAGTGCAGGAAATGACAGCCGAGATGGGATGGAGGACGGGCCCGTCGGGCGTAGATGCGATATGCTGTCCGGGCCGACTCAGTGGCAAGGTCCGCTCCCGATCCCACGCACAGCCGCACACACAGATCTCCAGCGTGTGACCCCTCCGCGCTGCGTGTCCATCTGGAGTTCAGCAGAAAGTTCCTTCCTTACCGAAGGCGAGACCTCCCATCCACGGATGCACGAGGGGCTCCCGGATGCTCAAACCAGCCACTCGGTAGTTCGAGGGCCTCGAAGAAACGCTCCTTTGGGCTGGGAGCTGGGATTTGTTCAGCACATCCGAGAAGGAACAAACTGACCGCCCCACGCAGTTAATATCTGCACGGCAGAGAAGGCCAAATTGCTGTTCTCATCTTTCCTTCTGGAAGCGTTTCTGGAACCGGCTTCTTTGCTCTCCCGAAACACCGTGCGCTCGCTTGGGCTCCTTCCCCTGCAGCCGCAGACTGGCAAGGACCTCTGCCTTGTACCCTGGGCAAATAAATAGGAGTTTCGTGGGAGAGTTTTCCATCAGCTTGGAGTGGGGAGGAGAGCGCGGAGAGAGGATGGAAAGCGAGAGGACGGGCGAGGGCGGGCTCTCGGCGTCATGAGCTGTCAGATCCAGTCATTCCGCACTCCTATTAAGGGGATCCTGGACCCTGAGCGGAATCTTTTCCCTGTGCCAGAGATTTAAATCAGGACTGTTCTCCGCTGCCCCTTCGCTCCCACCTCACCTCTCCTAAATCCTGGTCCTTGGGAGCTTTCCCTGGAGAAGCCCTTCTCTAGGGAAGGGAATTCCCTAAACTGAAGACGCCGCCACCTGGGAGCGGGATGAGGTGGCCAGGGAGGCGGCAGCTTCACCTGGAGCAGTTCGGCCTGCGTTGGGGGCGCATGGAGGGGCCCACCGCCCTCCTTCCTCGAGGCCGGCAAGCGTGGCCGGCGTCCTGCTCAGCATCACCAGCCCCTGCCAGGAACCCTCTTGCAACCTGCCCCTCGCTCAGGTCCATGGCCCCCTGGCTCCCCGGTCCTCTGTCCATCAAGCCAGCCGCTGCAACCCCATCATCCCCAGCTGACCATCTTAATCATGATGGCCCATCACTCCACAACCATAGCCCGCTTAAGAAACTGAAACTATTCTCCATTTTTTGACCCCGCAACCGCATTTGCTATCTCAAGGTCGGCTCGGACCTTCAAGGAGCCCAAAGGGGCATCTAAGAGCCTCCTCACCATTTTATCCTCACAACAACAACCCTGTAAGGTAGGTTAGGCTGAGTCCCAATACAAGTAGCCTTGCACCTAGATGCCTTAAATCCCTGCACGACGCTCTAACCACTAGGCAATGCTGGCTATTATGTTTCTGTGTAGCTAGGGGATTCTACAAACTCCATAAAGTATGATGGCTTTTGTGTGTGTGTGTGTGTGTGTGTGTGTGTGTGTGTGTGTGTGTGTGTGTGTGTGTGTGTGTGTGTGGTGACAGAGATGGATAGGATTAGGGTTCCTTGACGCAGCTCTACCTGGAAGTAATTTCTTGAATCTAGAGTCTTCAAAACATAATTAGGCCCCCAGACAGCCCCAGAGTGTCTTTCCCCTAATTATTCCAATTGGAGATGTCCGGTCTCTCGGAACTGAACGCCTGCATGTCTCGGTGCCAGATGCACGAGCCTTCGGCCCTCGCCGCGCACAGGAGCACATGATGTGCAGACTCCGGGATGCGGGGAGGGGTGGGGAGGGGAGGGGGCGCCGCGGGGCCACGAGAGCTCCCGCCCCGCCACGGTCCGCCAGCCTGACTGGGCGCCCAGCCGCGATGTGACAGATTGGCCCATTAGCATGTCATCAGGTGCGTCCGCAGGTTCGTGGCCCATCTGCGGCGCACCTGAACGGGGCCGTGGGTCCAGGCAGTCGCCGAAGCGAGTTAAGTATTATTAGCCAAGAGCGGGCAGCGAGAGAGTCGGAGAGGAATGCGAGCGAGTTATGTGGGAAGGGGGGAGAGTTTGGCGTGGGGGGAAGGCACGGCCTTTTAACCATTGAATAACTGCGCAAGGTTTGATTTCTGAACCACGTCTATCGGGAGTAATTCCTTGATTCAGTCAGCTGCCTTCTAGCCAGTCTCTGGCATGTTTTTCTTCTCTCAAAGCCCTTATCGAAGGACGGCATCTGCTTATAGACCAGGTCCGCTCCTCAGGCAGTCTAGACCGTGACTGTAAAAAGGCTGCGAAAGTCATCAGAGCCTGGGAAGGAGCTCTTGGTTCAGCTGGAGAAGCTGGGGGTCAAACAGAGAGCTCAAGCCAAAGGGGAAAAGGAGGGGTGCAAAACCCCCCCATAAATGTAAGGAACTAGTCCTCATGGTTCTCGAGCAAGTGCTGGCTTAAGAGGAACCTAGGAAGCTGCCACGGTCGGTCAGGTGGATGTTTGGCCTGCTGCCTGAAGGATACAGCAGGACCCTCCGCAGTAGCCGACACAGAAAGGCACACCGCTTCTCATCCAGAAGGCGGACGATCACCATCAGGACTAGCAACCTTCTCCTCCATTCGTGTGCCCCCTTCCCTTGTAAGGCCGTCCCCAAGGGTGGCCATCTTGGCATTTTGTGGCTTCGAGGTCCAGAGCTTGGCCATGGCATGGGCAAAGCCCTTCCTTTTACCCCACTCCATGGAAGGCTTGGCACGTAATCCCGCAAGCTTAGTCCCAGATGGGGTTACTTCTCCCCCAGGACTATTCCTGTAGCACCGGCTGCAACGCCACATTACCCATTTTCGGTGTGCGCCGCTCAGCCTTCCCTGCAACCCGGGGACCGAAACAAGCAAGCGCTGCATGCAGTGCAGGGGCTCCCCCATCATGCGCAGTTCCGGCTCAAGAGCCTTCTCTTAAATATCCCGTGCCAGGAGGGAGGGAGGCTCGGCAGCCAGCCCTGCCTTCCTCTGGGGACCCACGCATGGCTCAGAGCACACTGATCCTTCCACGAACGGGAACCTGCCGATTCTCACCTTCGATCCAGAACGGCGGGCTGGGGGCCAGCTGGCAAGACGGCGGCGCTCGCCTTCCGGAGGTGGAGCAGCCAGTATCGTAAATTCACCATCCGCAGGGCCTCTGGCGCTCATGCCACGTGCAGAACTCGCCCTTCAAAAATCAGGACGCGTGACTGGAAGGCTCAGACCTTCTTCAGCTTTAGAGAGGAGAGGGACAAGCACAGGTCCACAGCCCCCGAGTTGGTTTGAGACAACTGACTCCATCATTTATTTTATGCATTTGTAGGATTTTGAACCTGGTTCTTCAGCATCCCTGAAAGGCTCCCAGAGTGTCTAATGAAGATGAGTACCAACCAGTCCCTCTCCAGAGGCTGATGAGTTGACAGTCACAACACAAAAGGGGAGGAGGAGGGAGAAGGAAAAACGCAGCAAAACCCAGGCACTTGTGCTTTGTTTCAAAGCATATTCTTCAAAGGGAACAGCACAAGAGCCTGCAGTTGCTTCCTTTCCCGGTGGCACGTGGGGCTAGTTGGTGGAGTGGGAGGCAGCCTCAGAAGGTTTTCCAGCCAGAGGCCAGATTTGATCGTCCTACAAAAAATCTATGAGCTAGAACTATGAACTCTTTCTGGCTAGGAGGAGCAAAACGGCACTCCGAGTGGCCACACCTCTCATCCCTCACCATTGGGCATGCTGGCTGGGGCTGAGAGATGGAATTCAACCATCTCAGGCTGGCCAGTTTTCCTCTCCTGCTCCAAGAAACCGTGCACCCCTTCTCTGGGAACAAGTCACCTGCTTTTGCTGTCGGTCCACAGATGTGGGTTCCAACAGACGGCCTTTTTCGGCCTCCATCAAGACGACAAAATACTCACTCACTGTTGAACTGGAAAGAGTTGCCTTCACTGGTTTTGCTTTTGAAATCAGCATCCACAAAAACCGGATTTGTTAAGCCGAGCACTGCCGATCGGGCCATCGTGGTCTCAGAAGCATTGAGATTTAGCAGGCTGAATGTCACCTTGGATTGGCACAACCAGCGGCTTCCAAACCACAAGAGGTTAAGAAAACCGGGCATCTGATCTGTGGCCCCCTAGTTTCCACCTTCAGGCTGGTCATTACAAGTACTAATGTACCTTTTAAGGACTAGCCCCTGAACCTGTTTTTCCCCCTCTTCCTTTTCCCGTCTTGCATCAGGCCCTTGGAACACACGCCTGCGGCCAAGGACACGCTTGGTTTGGATGTCTGTGTTCAGCATCCGGTCATTGCCGGTGCTTTATAAACGATAAAATGAGAGCAAATAATAGACAGGCGTAAATCAGGGAGCCCTGGAGATGCTACCCATCTAAGGAAGAGCGCGGCCAGTCCCCCGATTTCCGATCCGATTCTTTTAATCAGTCGCTGCTGGACACTGGATCTGGCCTTCAGACTTGCAAAGCAAGCCAGGGATAATGGGCCTTGACGTCTTCGGACGGAGGCTGCCAAACTGGGGGAAAGTGGCACGGAGGGGCAGTGCCGAGGAAGTCCTGAATGCTGCTTGCTCCGTCTGCTAGCAAAGGAGATAAAAACCCCCAGATAGAGGGCAGCTCTGCTCCCTTGGATATTTGCATTTCTGCCTGGGATGGCGCCACAGCACCACCTTCTGGTTGCATTCCTCCTTAGCAAAAATCAAATTCCTGCAAAACAGAACACTGCAGGCGAGGGTTCGGGGGGCTGCAGCCGCCGGCACGCTGCTTCGGAACTTGAGGGGATCCATCCCAGAGGATGCGCCTCCAACTGCTGGATCCGGCTCGCGAGCAACCCAAGCCCAGCCTTCCTTCTGCTATCCGTCTTCCCCAGGGCTCTGGGCAGGCTGTGCCGCGAATCCTTTGGGAGCGGGAGGGAAGTCCGGAAGAGCTGCGTCTCCGTGTTCGGCCCCGGAGCAGAAGCCACGGACCCCACGGCTGCGTCTGGTTCTTGAGCTCCACCGCCATGCCGAAGACTGCCGAAAGCAGTGTCCGCTCCACCTGAGAGGAGGTCCCAGTCCTGACGCCCAGCTGCCGACAGACTCTTCTGCAACGGGCCAAGAGACTCCCGGGACCAGTGGCTTCAGCAAGGTGGGCCCAGCGCACGCCAGCGGGGCCTGCACACGTGTTCCTAAAGGGGCAAAGCCAGCCCCCATGTGCCACACTCGCTGCGGCTTCCTCTCCCCGCACGCAGCATGAGTCCAGGGGCGCAGGGACCCAAGGCCCGTGGACAGCCGAGCTGGCTCTCTATGTTGTAAGCCGCCCCGAGGCTTCGGCGAATGGGGCAGCATAAAAATGTTTTAATAAATAAATAAATAAACCACCCTGCAGGGTAGGTGAAGCTGACAGGCGAAACGTTCCGGCACCTCCTGGAAGCATCTTTTTTTCCCCAGGAAGCTTTCTGAGCTGACCAGCCACCCTTTCCATTGATACTGTTTTAATATTGTGCTGTACTTTTTATCTTTTGTTTATCCGTTGACATGTGAAATATACATTGTATTTAACTCTTGTAAATTGCGAGAGAGGAATTGTGCCTACCGCTGCCCGTTGGTGGGTTCTCGCAACACCCACTCCCCCACCTGGATGTTGCTGGACTCCCATCATCCCCAGCCATTCAGCAGGGAACTGAATGCGGAAGGGAACTGCAGGCCAACATCTTGTGGGGGGGTGCACAGGGGCCAATTCTGGCTTAGATTCTCAAATGCAGTCGTCTCGCCCGCCCCGCTTCCTCTTGCAAGTGTTACGACAACCCTGCGCTGTAGGCAAGGCAAAGTCACCTCGTGAGCTCCGGTCTCCCGAGGCTAACGCCGTAACCTCTGCACCACGCTGGTTCTGTGCGTGCTCAAGGCAGATGTACAACAGGGAAAGCGATCTTGGGACAGGCAGGGGCTGGCTGCACCTCTGCTGGCCCCTGCTAGAACGCCCGCATTCTTACAAAAACCACATGCATTCCCAGAATCTGGACTACATCACACGGACAAGGCTGGTGGAGGACCCGGGGAATGCAAAGGAAGCTGCCTGCTGGAACCGGAGGCCACCAGCCCAACCATCAGCCAACGCTGGCCAGGGATGATGGGAACTGAAGGCTGCCGAGTCTGTCCAGTCCCACCCACCCACCCACCCACCCAAAGACATTGTGCTTAAGAATCATAAATGCCACACGACATTCCAGACAACCAACCAAACGCGGGCGGGCTGATTTTCCCGCCACCGAGTTCAACCTTTCTCCTTCTCACAGCTACATGCTGAGGTTTTCATTTCTCACCGATAATTCTAACTCCCACTATAATGCAGAAATGCGCGTGGTTTTCATCGTAAATTTACTTTGCCAACTGCCCAGCTGGTCTGCCTGTGCCTGGCTGCATCTCTGTGCTGAGTGTGATGGGGGAAAGATGGCTTGTTCGGAGCTCTTTCACAGGGGCCCCGAGAGTTGAGTATCTGAGAAACCTCGCTGTAAAAAAGACAGCGCTACGCAGAAGCTTTCCGGGGAAGTCGCTCCAACCCCACCAAGACTGTTTGAAGGCCCTCCCTCCCTCCCTCCCCAAACACCACATCCCCCCCAAATCAGGACTTCTTTAAAAAGAGAGAGAGGAGAGGAGAGAGACACAGCACACTTCGTTTCATAACAGAGAGAGCAGAAGCCTTTGTAGAAACGGAGAATATACATCAAGTTCTTCTCGTGATGAGAGCCGATGAGGAGCACAAACAGGAAGGCAGAGTCGAGGAACATTATAAATAAATCTGGATCCAAAAAGATGGAAGGAAAAAACCCACAAAATCTCCAAAGTGTTTTATAAATACAGATCTTCACTCGTCCCCCTTCCACGTGTATTGCCCGCCCCCCGCCCACCCCCCCCCAAGCCCACCAACAGGTCTGCTTTTAAAGAAATCTGTCGCATGGATCCAACCCAGTGAGCTTCAGCTAATCCATACCTATCCGCAGAGAAACTGGACAAAGCACCTATTTTTTGATTATCTAAGCGACGTGGCTCATGGGTTTGTTTAGTGCTTTCGAATCCCCCTCGCCATTCCTGCTTTTAGCCTTCTATAGCTACTTCTTATCATCCAGTAAGATTCAGAAATTGAAACTTCTTTGTAAAAGAAAAAAAGGGGGGATAAAAGCAGCAGCCTAACATTGAAGGAAAGGCAGAGAGAGAGAGGCCATACGCTGAACATACAGGAAATAACCTTTATTTGAGCTAAGGAGAATGTTTTAGAAGAATCTAGTATGTGGCAGATGTAAAAATACAGGGGCCCGGGCCAATATTACCAATATTCCCTCAGTAAAAGGCTGTGATTGTAAAGTGGGTGACATTTAAAGAAAGCCACAGATGTTTTGAAAAGGCACTCGGGCTCAACTCCGGAGTGAGCCAACGGATTTGGAAAAAATTGTTGGACCAAAAAATCCTGCCAAGAAACCACATCTCAAAGCTGACCTTGGATGCAAGAAAAGCTTCCGTTACAGAGCAGGACAGGTTGCACCTTTGCAAGTTGGGGCCACTGAACTGTCCCCTTGGCAAGGCAAGGGGTCTGGCAGCGCCCCATCTGCACGACAGCCGCCCTGCAAGGCCGATTGTGGCGTGTGCCATCACTCCAGAGTGGGCAGAACCGGAAGCGACCATGAGCTGCCTGCTCTGAGAACCGCCAGGCCCAACGGGTCAGTGACTTCCCAGAACTGCCGGGGCATGTGCCTCTTGCATGTCTGAGTTCTCCTGCAGAAAAAAAACCCTCCGAAAGGCTGACTGGCTTCGCCCCCAGGAGGCTAGCTTTCTACATGCAAGGAGCAGGCAGGACAGCACGTCCCCACAGCCCTGACTTAAACCTGGGGCAGGCGACTAACAGCCCCTCAGGTGTCACTGGACTCCCAACACCTGCCCAGCCACCTGAAGTGCAGTCCAACACCATCCAGAAGGCCTCGGGAGCTTGCCCGCTTCCCATGAGTTAGTTTAGCTTGCCCTGGGGGCCACAGGGAGGGGTGGGGAGAGAGAGAGAGAAAGAACGAACATTCAACTGGAACAAAGTTACTCACAACCGAGTAAAGATGGTTGATGATCGACACGTCAGTTCCACCTGTACCTGAGAGACTCCTGCGCACAAGCCACGTGCGACCCACAGGACACAGCTGATGTGGCTTCACATTCAACAAACTCCACACCAAAAACGTCCACCAAAACTCCTTTCCGAAGCCACCGGCTCTGGCATTTGTTTCCCTTCCTTCAAGAACGAATCCCCATCTCACTCGTGACAGCCAGGGGCCAAACGAAGAACTTTACACAGTTTAAAAGGGAGCAATCACGTAATCAGGCACAGTAAGGAGGTGTTTTGGGGATGGGGTGTGAGGGGGAGACGCAGGGAGGGGAAAACCCAAAAGCAGAACATCAATGCTAAAACCCACCGTGAAAAAACGGCTGCCCGGAGGAGGACTTTCCCATGCGGTTTGCCAGAGGCTGGGCAACCAGTGTGGTTCTTGAGGGCCAGAATTTAAAAACTGCACCACTGGGACAACTCAAAGGGTGGTTTACATTCAGCAGCAGCAAATGGCAGTGTGGGAGGCGGGTGGCTTGGGGTGGGGGAGGCGTTTGAATGGAGAGAGGGGCACAGAAGACTCCCTCTCTGTTTTTCCTCCCCAAATCCTTCCCTGTTCCCCAGCAGATGGCTCCAAGACATATTTTCCGGCCAAGCAAGGAACATGCCGCAGAAGACAGCCAGGTGGCTAAGCAACACGGATTTCTCCTCCCTTCCTCCTGGTGCTGCTGCCTCCTGTGTCACTGGCAGTCCCACGAGGTCCCCAAACGTGCGAGTCGACTCTGAGGGCCTTAAGGAATTCAAAAGGGGTCGGATGCAAATTAAAAACCAAGACCACGACACGCTCCACTTGCGTCCGCTCCGCCTTTAGATCTTAAGACTTCGCCTCTTTTAACAGGAATTTTCGATGGGAAGCACCTCCTCTGCTCCTCCTCTGCCCTCCACCGCATCTGCCGCAAAACCTAACGTGCGTGCCGCCTCCGCCTCAAAACCAAACCCATGAGCCAAACCGGAGCTTCTTTTTACCTGTACATCATGGTATTTATCCCAGAGTCGGGAGTCTGATACCCACGGAGTCCCAAATGTAATTTTTTTTCCTCTGCCGCTACCGCTAATTTTGGTCTTGGAACCGCAGGGGGGAGCAGCGTCACTCCTGCGCTATGCTCCGCAGGACGTACTTCACCGTGTAGGCGAAGGCTGCAAAGCCGACTATAATGAACAAGTTCGCCAAAGCTCCGCCCAGGAGTCCGTGGTTCCGGTTCGCCTGCTGCAGGCCGGGGTGGTTGGCTGCGGCGGCTGCCAGCGGCACGTGCCCGTTCAGGAGCGGCAGCCCGTTCTGGACGTGGTGCGCTTCCCCGTCTGGGATGACGTCGGGGAGGGGGAGAGTCGGGGGCCGGCTGTGGCGATCCTCCCGCGCCTTTTGTTTCTGCTTTATTTCCTAGGGTGGAAAAGGGGGGAAGGTTACCAGGTTGCAGAAGCTGGAGCTGGCGGTAAATGGAGCTGCTCGGCGGCTTTTTAAAATGGCCTTCCCGGCAGGGGAGAGGACAGGCGGAGAAATGGGGAAGGGGACCCCAGGCCTCCCAGGAAACCAGAGAGATTCGAGCAGGACGCTCTTTGCTGGGACAGTTCACTTCCTGCAAGAAAATGGTTCAACACAACCGCAACAGAAGATCCCTTCCCACACTGAGCACTTCCATTCCCAGCATTCTTGACCAGCACTCTGCTGGTGAGGCTGACAAGGCTGGGGCTGAAAACAGCCGTGGAGCACAAGGTTGCTCAAGGTTTGTAGCAAGTCCTCTCTGTGCGCTTTTTGAAGCACAAAATACGGACAGTAACTGCCTTTTAATTTGGGGGACGCAACTCTACTGTGTGTCGAAACTATGCTTCTGAATACAGTCGTAACTTTTAAGATTAAGCAACAGCCTGAAAGTGTCCCTCTGAAGAAGATTAATTTGTGTCTCCTGATAAAACAGAAAGCAGACTTCCTTCCTGCTCTCAAGCAAAGAAGAATCGCGTGGATAAAAACGTGACCAAGGCATTTTTAAAAGGCTGGTGTGAGACCAGCTCCAGGGCTGCCTGTGCAGCCTTCCAAACGTTCCGCATTACCTCCACCACATCCGGGAACAATTCACAGAAGACTTTGTCTTTTACGTTGAACGCTAAACTCTGTGACGCAAGCTGCCTTTTCTGTTGGGAAAGGGAAAGAGAGAGCAAGAGTGAACCAGGGGAAGCCACAGAGGAGCACCTGCTCCTCAGGATCACCCGTGTTTTAAAAATAAAAACAACTCTGTGCACCTTTGGAACGGGCAGAGAAAAGACGGCCGGGCTGAGTGGGGACTTACCGTAAACTCCGACGTTTCTATACTGCCCAGAGTGGGGCCTTTCTCGACCATAAAACTAAGGAGGCCCGTCAGGATTGTCGAGACCGACCAAGCGGGATTCCATGTGTCAGGGTGGAAGTCCGTGATTGAAAGACACAACCTGCAAGCAGCAGCACAGAAAGCAGACGGGGTCTCAGTCTTCCCGAGCGAGGGATATGCTAAGCATGTTCCCCCGAGTTCTAAAAGCAACCAGGAGGGGGAAGCTGGGGCTCCCAAAGGCTCTTTCGCTTCTCCGCTTCCCTAACCGTAGACGGATTTCTCCATCTTCTGCTCGTCTCGTGGGGGGGGGGGGGGGGGGGGGGGGTGGGTCTGCTGAAGTCCGGCAGGCTGACCTTGCAGCAGTTTAGTTAGCACAAGCCCACGAACCTGGCTTTGCAAGAGCTGGAACAGACCTTCAGCTCGGCCGGTGAAGCTTTCGAGCAAATTTACTTGAGAGCTGGGAACGCACTGCCTGCTCCACCGGACCCCGGCCCATATTCCGCCCAGGCAGACCTCTCAGCCCGTCTCTCAGCCTGCCAACCTCCCCTCCCTCGGCTGAGAATCTACTGCCCCGGCTGAACAGAATCACATACCTTGTGTTGCATTTAAATCTTCCGTTTGGTGTGATCATATAAATACTAGGAGGTTTAAAAGGAAATTCCCTGGGAAAAATCAGTTTCCCGTGGTAATAGCCACCTAAGACAATGGGGTGGGGCGGGGGGAAAGAAAGAAACCCTTATTCATTTCACAGCAAAGCTTCGACATGCAACAACTTGAGAATCTAAACCTGTCAAAGGAGTTCGCAGGTTTCAGGGAAATTAGACCCCCCCCCCCCCGCAAACCTGGCCCTTTTGCTTTACTGAGAGCAAACTGAAAAGAGGGAAAGGGTTCCCCTTGTGGAGGAAGCCGGGCCATAAGAGAACAAAGAGGTGCTCTCTGCAGCCCCTCGGCTCCACCTCCACATTAAACCACAGTGCGCAGCAACCACGATGGCTCAGAAGGCCCAGGCGTGGTGGCGAAGCGCAACCTGAGCTGCGGGGCTGCTTCCACGGCCACCCGCTGGCCCAGCATCACGCCCTCCAGAAGCCGCGGCCTCCCAAGTGCTGGGAGCTCACCAGTTGAGAGCGCACGCCGGTGGTTTGCCCCATGGCCACAGCTTCTCCGTTGGGCCCTGAGACACCGCTGTCTGCCCCAGGAGGGTAAAAAAAGGGTGCAGAAGCTCAGGCCCAAAGCCACCCCCAACCACTGATGGCATGGTCGATCCTTAGCCTTTGCTCAGCGTTCTTCCCACTCTAAGGTGTCTCTATGACGCCGGGGCCACAGGTGCAAATATGCTGCTCGTCTTACGATCTGGCCGTGCCTTCCAGCATGCGGCGCGCAAGGCCCTTCTCGGAACGGAGCTCAGCCTGGGGCCAGAAGAGCCCCGGAACCCTCAGCCCACGTGCAGCCACGTAAGACGGAGGCACATCATCCCCGGAGCCCATGTGGGGGGCCCGCCTGGCTCCCCCCACCACCTTTGGGGGTCAACACAATTCCCCCCAGAACCGCATGGCCGTTGCCTGCACTGGGCAGGACTGATGGAACTCAGGTTCAGAACATCCCGGGGGGCAGGCGGGGTGGGGGGGGACAAGCTGGGGAAGGCCAGTCTCTGGCCCGGCAGCTCTTCCCTTTCTCGGGTACCACGCCACACGAGAGGCGGGATAAAAGCATGAGGCACACAGGGGAGGGGCGGGGGGGCAGTAAGGAGCACTGGTCACAACACGATCCTGACACCCGCCTTAGTGACGCGAGGAAGCTTTGCTTACGGAGCAGATCCAAATCAAGCTGTGATTTACCTTCGTACGGTGTCATCTCGGGTCCCCGTACAACATAGTGCCTGACGGGACAAAGGAAGCTTGTGTTACACGTGCCAAATTTCCAGAGGAAGAGGGGACAGAAGGCAGGCGGGCAGAACCAAGTTCCTATTCCGCCAGACCTGCAGGAAAGCCAGCCTCGTTTTCGACACAGCAGCGGCGGCAGGAGACAAAACCCCGTGTTTCTAAAAATGCACTACATAACCCAGAAAAGAGGGAGGTGAGATTGAGGGCCTTGCCCAACGCTCTCACCACTCCGCCACCCTGCCCTTTTAGGGAGCTGTCCTGAAAATGTGTCCACCGCGTCTCTGGAACACACTGTGGGTGTTTCAATCTTAGTTCACATCCGCCTTTGTTTAAAACCAAAGGTCTTCACAAACTGCTTTTTAAAGCCTCTTGCACACTTCCTTCCAGGGGGTCTAATTTGAAATAGAATAAGTTCTTGCCAAAAAAAAAAAAAAAAAAATCAGAGTAGCCATGGACGCAAACATAGCAGTTCTGGGAAAAGGTCTTGCTTGTGGCATTCCCATCGAAGCGCTAGCCTGGAGAATCAGGAGCACAGGGGAGGGGGCAGGTGTGACCTCTCACACACACACACAGCTGGGTGCCTGCGTGCCCTTACCATTCAAGGATGTTGGATGGGAGCGGTTCAGCACAGATGTAAGGCACCGGGTCCTTTTTGATGCGCAGGTAGTCCTGCTTGAGCCTCTGGGTAGCTGTGGTGGGTGCGCGCTTGTTGCTGGTGCCGCTCATCCTGCGGACAAGGAGACAAAGGGTCAGGTGCGCTTCCTGCAGCTTGAGGGCCGGCTTCCTTTTCGGAAACATTCCCAAGGGTGAGGGCAAGGAAGGATAACACCATTTCGCGTCAACCTCTTGCTGCCGGGAAACCTTAGTAAAGGCACCTTGGTGGTGGACTTTAATGGGGGGGGGGGGGGGGCCTTTGGGCCTATCCACTACCCCTCACCCCAGAAAAAAAGGGGGGGGGGGAATAAGGGGACCTGCCTGGTGGGGGGGGGGGGGGGATCTGAAGGGCAAGCTGCAGCCCGCAGGTGTTCTGCACTGATATGCTGGCACCTTCCAGAACCTAGAACCTTATTGATTCTGCAACAGGAAAAAAATGCTACCACTGACCGGGTCCCAAGGACCAGAGGGAAGGAGGACGCAGGTCAGCAACGCTGCACTCCAAGAGCTGCCCTGAACGCTGCCCCTGGTCGGCAAAACATTCCCCTTAGCTGGTCCATAGCTCTGTGCATCGGTTCCCACAAGGCGGGCAGGCAGGCTTCCTGGGTCTGGATCTGCCCACCCTCACCTGGCGTTTTGACGGCCTCAACATCCTTTCAGCCAGGGGCAAAATCGCCCTTCATTTCAGATCACATGCAGGGGATGTTACAAGAACAGAGAAAAGGAAGCGCTTCTTTCGCAAAAGGGATTTGCTACGATAAAAGTCGGAGGATAAGGATGCGAGAAAAGCACCGCTTCCCGCACGATATGGCCCTGAGTCGGGAAAAGGCTTGAGATGGAATTCAGAGAAATTCCGTGAATTCAATCTCTGCAGACTTACACATTCCTACTTCTCACAGGCATCAGGTCAGCTGCTATCAGGGCAAGACAGACTCTGGCCTGACCTAGCTCTGTGTTCTCATTTTTCTAAGCCTTTCAACTGCTGTAATTTTGACACACGGGGAAGGGGGATAGGCAAGTTCCCTCGAAAGACTTCTGCCGGAGGTCGAAAAGCTGATAAAAATTAGGATAAAGCACATCCTGTACCCTTGCGTGTACACTCTTGGGAGTGGAATGAACAAGCCGGTCACAAAAGAGAAGGGAGGAAAAGGCAGCCTGGCTTGCCCCACATAAGGTCAAGGACTATTTTGGGCGAAAGGGAGGGAGGAACTGCACCCAAGAAGCTACGGCAATTTTTTTGAGTCTTCATTGACGCTTGGAGCAAGGAGGAGGGCTCTGCGCCTCGATGCTCAAATGTGAGACCCTGACGCTGTAACTCACCCCGGCTTATTGATCTGATTCAGAAGCAGCAGTGCTAATCTCACAGTAAGCAAACACCCTCTTTCTCCGCATCCCAAAGAGATGAAAGGCAAACTTCAGAGGCCCGTCTACCCTTGTTCTGACAGGTCCTTCCAGAAGATCCTAGAATAGATACTCCACCCTTTCTGTTTTAGTCTCGGCTCCAGCCAAACCAAGCTCCCAGCCTCCAATACAAAGCAGGGGGAGGAGGCGTGAGCTGCTCCAGATGTTTTAAACTACAGCTCCCAAAAGCCCCAGCCAGTACGGTCAATGACTGGGCCTTACAGAAACTGCAGTCCACTGGCTGCACTCACTAATTTATTTTATTTATTTTTTTATTTTAAACACTTTTTAAGACCATCCTTTACCATAGTCTCAGGACGGTTTAACAGTAAGACAAAAAAATAAAATGAAATACAGCATCCTAATCAATTTCTGACAATAAAATCCATATTAAAATAGCAGTCTTTAAAATACTGGGAAAATAAAAAGGGTTTAGCCTGGCGCAGAAAAGAACAAAGTGATGGTGCCAGGCGGACCTCTCTGGGGAGCGCATTCCACAGTCGGGGGGCCACCACAAAGAAGGCCCTTCTCCAGGTAACTGCCCTCCCAATTGCCTTCAGGGAGGGCTCCCAGAGAAGGCCCTCAGATCTTAAGGCGGGAATCCATGAATAGCTGGAACACAGAACACTCTCTTATAAAGCACTTGGTTTAGTGTGGAGCAGACAATAGTACTGGCAGCTATTTGCTGGGGCAACTAACAGAAAACTCCTTTCAGAGGCAGCCTAAAAAGAAAGATGTTAATTGGCTAGTCGGGGCATGCACAAGTCTTTCTTCCCACCTCAGCGAGCCAACCTGAAACTCACTGCAAAGGTGGGGGCTGATGGCCTTAAAAGCAGTCCATCGAGGTAGGTTAAAAGCACAGTCCCATTGATTGTCTCTCTGCTGGGGCTCCTCCAAACTCAGAAGCTTCCAAGAGTCTCATCCCCTGCCGGGCTGAAGCTGACAAGTCTGGAGCAACAGAGGAAGTGACCTTTGCCTCCCTACCTACCCTCCGACTTTGCCCCACCATATCCTGGCCTCTTCCCCTCCCCCTAAACACACTTTCTTCCTCCTCTGAGAGTCTTTTTCCAATCTCAACAGGGAACTGATGTGCTTCCTCCCGGGCTGGAGACTAGGGGTGGGTCAGCCTTCCGACTCTCACTTCTAGAGCGCTGTTCAACCTCAGAAAGCTTTTCTCAATCAATCGTCTAGTCCCTGAGATGCTCTTCATCAGCAACCACCGCCTACTATGATAACCAAGAACTGAACATCCATGTTCAGTACCATCAAATAGCTAACGTGGGTACAAGCTGAGATCAACCACTGCCTCCTCGGGCTCCCCAGCAGCTTCTGGACCATCTCCTTTGCAAACAAGTTCAAGTTTCCATTAATATAAGCCATGCTGCAGTCTGCTTGATACCCCAATGCACCCCCCCCAGGAGGCCTGGATTTCTGAACTGTTGCACTGATAGGGCACCTCACTACACAACTGGAAGCAACAAGCAGCTCTCTACTAAAGGACTGCCAACCTACTGCTCAAGCCCAAGTTGCAAGCAACCCAGGAAAGCTGGGAGAAAGTTAAGGTATTCAGTGCTGCTCAGTGTGAGACTCAATCTCAGTCACAGCGGTGGCTAACTTGTGCAGTTCGTCGCCATAAGAAGCAACAAGGGCCCAGGACTGAAAGGCGTCGTATATGAGAACCAGTGGAGGGCACTGGTCGGGCTGGGACTTGGGAGATGCAGCTTGTAGCCCTGACGAAGCCAACTAGCCACTGACACGGCGCCTCCCACCTATTGTTCCGAGCCCGAAGTCAGACCAAACAATAGAACCCACAGCTCCAAAGTCCCAGGCCAACACGCTCGCCTCTCTCTCCCTCACAAATTAATCTATGTTAGCAGTATATTCGCACACCACCCCTTTCCCCCCAAAATAGGCAAGGCCACATCGCTCTCCTCTCCCTTCTCTTCCCGGGACTGGGAGCCAGCGAGGGCCCAAAGCCCCCAGCGTGCTTCACGACCGGGGGCGCAGACACAGCCCCTCAAGGACCCAGCTCCGCGCTCCAAGCCCTGCGCTGCGCCTGCCCCCACGGCAGCCCGACCGGGGGGGGGGGAGGCGAGGCTGAGGCTCGGCGCCTGGCCCCGAGCCGCCCTGGGAGCGTCACGGCCGGCGGGGACGAGCACTCGCGCGGGGCCGAATCCCAGCCCGGGGGAGGCCCCTCCCGCCCCGCGGAAACAGAGCCCTGGGTGGCGCCCGCCCCGGGGCTGGCCCAGCAGGGCCCGACCCCGCTTCCCGCCTCCCGCCTCCCGCCTCGGCCGCCCGTCCCGCGGCAACGAAGAGCCGCGACCGGCTCCGGCTCGGCGCCCGTCCTTCCTCGTCCGCCGCCCTCGCCTCACCTCTCCCCGCTGGGCTCGGGGCCCTCCCAAGGCCGCCTCGGGGAAGGGGAAGGGGAAGGGGCGGCCCGCAACTCGGACTCTCCCCTCAGCCTGGGCGGGCCGGCGGCTCCCTCGGACGCCGCTGCCGCTCCCGCCGCCGCGAGCCTCCAAGATGGCTGCCCCAGGCAGGGCCGAGAAGGGACCGGCTTCCCTTCCCTCACTTCCGCTTCCGGAGAGGTCGGAAGCGGCCATTGCTCAGCGGGAGGAAGCCACCATAGAGACGCCCGCGCTGGACTGTTTTGTTTATACGCGCTAACGCCCAATCACAGTTAAGATGGAAACATTCACCATAGAGATGGGGGCTAGAGGGGCGACGCTCTCCCCTCACGCCCCACCCCGCGGCATCTTTGAGCATGTTGCAGGATTACGGGCCACTCTACCCCTTTCGTATCTCTCTGCGCGGGAGCCGCGATTCTCTCATTGTGATAGGAAGCGAGGGGAGGCAGTCGGCGAAGGAGATAGTAAAAGTGTAGAGACGCGTAGAGGCGCTGCTGCGGGATGTTCGGAAGACATCCACGGCCCAAGAGCGGAGGCCTGCACTGCAGGGGTGTTGCAAAAAGTTACCAGGCACCCTCGTTCGTGGCGGAAGGCAAGTGCACGGAACCCCAGACAGCAGCAAACCCGCCAGGCCTCGGAGCGGGAAAAGCAGAAACGTGCCGCTGTTGCCAATGGTGATCCCTCCCCGTAAGAAACTGCCACAGATTCCTCCACAGGCACCCCAAGAAATTGGGTGAAATGGTCTGTCCAACGTCCTGGCCCAAAATTAGGGGGCATAATTTCAAGGGGCCAGGAAGACAAGCGGTGCAGCAGCCAGAGCAGCGGTTCCTCCCGTGCCTCTGCCTTTTGGCCGGACGGCACCCATCCTTCCCCTGAAATGCGTCCCGTTGATTTTCGGGTGGGACACGTTCCCTCCAAGTCCCTTCTGATCGCATCTCACACTGCACCGCAAATGCAGCTTACTTGGGAGTAAGTCCCACTGAACAATATGGATGTGACTTCCAAGTAAAACATGCGTAGCGTCTGGCTTTGGTACAAGAAATACAAAAAAACAGCAACACATAATATCCATTGTTTCCCTCTTCCATGCCCAGCACAAGCAGGCTTGAATGATCCATGCAGTTTCTTTACGATGGATTTTTTATTAATTCATTGGTAGGCGAAAAATACCACAGTACACAAGGGCTACACAAGGTCCTATTCTGACCTGTCACGGAACAGACATACTCCCCGTAGCCCTTAAATCACAGAGATGCACTCAAAAAAGAAAGTGACACACAGAAGTCCTCTTAAGGCTGAAAAACCACAAAGGAACAACGGCTCCTTTTCCTATGCACAACTTTAAAATCAATCCTCACTCAGGACTGGAAGCTTGTTAAGTACACCACACACAGAGTTGCTGAGGAAAGCTGGATTTGCTCCTACAGGATTCTCTTTCTCTTCTAGCTACGGGGCTAAGAGCACTTTGAAAAAACACATAATGCACACCCACGCTGGGAAAGCGACTGGCAGAGCGTGTCAGGTGACCAAGAATGGGTATTTCTTTTTTAGCACCAGCATTCTCCACAGTGCAAAGGGTATAGCTTGAGAAGTGTTCAATGATCTGAAACAGGCTGTTCCGAATCAGGTACCTTTCTGAGCTCGCTCTTCTACATACAGCTGCATCTACAAAAGGAGGCAGAGGGGAAAAGTTGGAAATTGTCATTGTCCTTTAACTAAGCACCCAAGCAAGTGGTCCTGTGCACGAGTTGGGCAACCTGATGAGGGAAGGGGCAACCTGATGCAGTTTAAGATAAATAACCTATAGAAGAGAGAAATTTTTAGAAGGAAAAAAACAGCCATCATCATCACCATCTGGAAAACTCACAGGGAGAAATGGCTGCTCCATTTCTTGAACACTTGCAGTTTTCCTCTGCCCTCCCCACCCCTAGTTCCTCTCATCTCCTTTCATTTCAGATGTGGGAAGGGAGCTTTAAGCTCAACTATGCTAGCCTTTGGGGCGGGGGGAGACTGGCCCTGTCCCATTTCGTGTCCAGCCCTGCCCATCACTGGGCTGCGCCCCCCACCATTCAAAGCTTCTCCAAAAGGGGTCTACCACCCCGCTCGAGAGAGTAAGAAGCACTCGGCAGTCCTTCCGGTCCCTGGAAGAATGAAGGCTTGGGCTGTCTCCTGGAAAGCACTCCAGTTCTCTAGCACAAAGCACGGGGGCACACTCCGCAAGGCCCACCCACAAGCCACAGTCGGAAAGCACGAGTTACTGGTCCAGAGAGAGATCTCCCTGGCTTGCTACCCAGAATCCCCCCAGACTTGAAGTCAGCAGACAAGAGACAGCTAATCCCGAGTTTCTCGCTTCTATAAAAGCGGCAGGACCCCCAACAGCCCTTCACGATCTGGGCAAGATGGGAGAGGGGATTCTTCAGGAAATGTCTGTGTACGAAAGAGCAGCCCAATCACCTTTAAAAGGTCCGACGTCATGGTCTTCAGAGGGATGAGCCGTGGGTCATGCATGTGGACATCCTGCTCGTCAGCAAGGATCCAGGGGAAATCCTGCAGGGAAAGATACACAACGGAGTGGCTCGACCTGGCCGAAAACACACTCCATTTCCTTCTGGAATCTATACACCGTCCTTCATCCAGAAGGGATCCCAGGGTAGGGTTCCCCGGGAGGAAAGCACATCCACTGAAAATTCCTGGAATTCCAATCTTGGAAAGTCTGACTCGAGCAAAAGAGCCTCCAAGCCAACATTTTGATGTGTTGTCCATTTTTTTTTTTTAATTGGGAGGTGGCAAACTGGAAAGACGACGTCTGCCCTCAGCTGCCCTCTTTCGGCTTTACGTTTTGAGCTCAGACTCCATTCCCGCCCAGTACCCAAGTTCTTGGGCAAGTTTCCTTCTTAGCCTTACTGGTTTGCCTACAGAGAAATCAGTTAGGTGACTCACACCCAACATGGCAGCCATTTTACGAACAGGCAGGCCCCACCCCCATGGCAGCCATTTTGTGAGAGCACCCGCAGCACCCTCTCAGAATTCCAGCCGTGCCCAGTGACTGAAAAAGGCTGGAGCGTTTCAGGGCCAAGAAGTCATGTTTTAAAGATTCACAGCAGTGCCTTTGCTGATTCCCAGGGCGTCCGCATCCCCTTACCTTGATCACCTGGATCTTCTCCATGTTGCGGGTGGCAGCTTCTCGGGTGTGCACCAGCACCGTAAAAGTACAGCCTGCAAGGAAGGGGAGATGGAACACCCTGAAGGGTGCGGGCAAGGGACGGCGCTCAGCTATTTCTTCCGTGTGCTTCTGCCTGCACTAAGTGTTGGGGTAGCTGCGGGGCTCACAGGGACGTGGTACGAACACGTTGGCTGCCACCCCCCTCGGATTTCCACATTCTCTCTGCGCACAGTTTGACAGAAGCAGATAGTGGGGTACGGGAGTAATTTCTCTCTTCAAAAAACGGTTCCGTGGAGGCTGCAAGCAGGCTACCTTCACTGCCGCTCGCAGATCTGCAGCCCAGAATGCAAGCGATCCGTTCACATCATTTCCAGACACTGCCTTCGGAAGGCTGCTAGCTCACGGCATCACCGCAGCCCAGCCAATGGTTAGGCGGGTACAGGTAGGCAGGTGAGGAAGGTATGGGGGCAGGGGAGACACCTAAGACTGAATATTAATTCCACCTAAATGACCGCATTTGGAGGGGTTGTTCCTTTTATTTTGTTAAGGCAGTGAATGCTTATTTATTTCTTTATGAAAGGCTTTTCTGTCCCCACAAAAGCCTTAAAATGTGAGAAGGCAGGCGCAGTTTGGTGGCCTACCTGGAGGGTTGTTGTCCAAGACAGCATCGCACACGCTGATCTTCAGAATAAAGGCCCGCAAGAGCTGCTCCACGTGGTTAAGAAGGGAATCCGAGCTGGGGGGGGGGGGGGGGGGGGGACAGAAAAAGCCACACGGTTAGCAGAAATGTCTGCCAGTTCACAAAGCATCAGTTCTCTTGGAGAGGAGCAGAGCCTTGAAGTAAAGCCAGCTTAGAGCTAAGGGAGGCATTACTTCCCAGCAAAGGGGGGGGGGGGGACTGCCATGGGCTGATTACGCTGGGATTTGTGGGGGGGGGCATTCCTGGCCTCCTTTTTTGTGTCAGGTCCAAGCACCACTAGCATCAACCACGGCTCCGTGAAGAGCTTCTCCAAAATGAGACCTGGCCCTCGAGCTGGAGGCCTTTCCCCTCCCTGGTCTGGCAGCTACATCTGCTGTTCGTTTTTATTGTGGAGTGGAAGCAGGCCCCGATCCAGCTCTTCAAAGCCCCCTTACCCACCTATCCCCACACTTCTGGGGGGTAGTCTTCTCACAGCTGGTAGACCCACAACTAGGCCCGTATTCGGTCCTTTGACGGCAGCTGGGAGGGGGTGACACCATCGTCATCATGACTTGCACAGCCCAAAAGGAGGCCTGCCCGTTCGGATCCCCCCGCACCTCACTGGCTGATGCTCACAGGACATGCCAGGACTCAGAGCAAAGCGCTCCGATCACATGCTTAGGAAAGCTGGCCCAGGAAGCGAAGCTGGGCCATCCCACGGCAGAGATTGCAAGGGGACTGGGACGGCCCACCTGAGGGGACGCCTCACCTGATAGACAGCAGGGGCGGCTGCATGATCTCAAAGACGAACCTCTCCACCGGGTGGTGGTCTTTGTCCAAGATGACCACCACCACCTTTTCCACATCGTTCTGAAAAGCAGCAGAACACACAAGAGCGCAGTTCTTCTTTTTAAAGAGGAGGAGCTCTGTGAAACCCAGAAGCTTCCACCCCATCACTCCAAGTCAGTCCAGCAGGAGGGAGGGTCGCAAGGGCTTCTCCCGTAATTTCCACAGGTCCATTCCTGGCCTCCTTCAACTCACCTTCTCCAGCAGAGGTTTGATGCAATGAAGGGTGTCTTGGATGTATCGGTTCAGCTCCGGGTGGCAGGACATCTGTCAAAACAAGACTCTTATTGAATTATCTTTAGAAATACAGGAAAGACGCCTCTCTTCAAGGAAGCCTTTTAAACTCGTGGAGTTTCTGTTGTTGCAACTGGAATTGCTGTACACAGCCTTCAGGACGTATGAGCAACTAAGTCAGTTGCTGTTTATTTAATATACAAAGAAATGCTTTTGTTGCAAACCAAACATACTTCTCTCCTATTAAAAAAGGGGAGATGGGACTGTAGATTCTGGAAATCCCTTTTAAGGGAAGGAATGTTCAGAAACAGCATTTGACATCCACAGCCTAGAGTGGTAGAGACAGCTTCTACCATCGCAAGACCACACAGGTAAACACAGAGGTGTTGGCCTAGGCTAAGGCGGTAAAGACCCTCACCTGGACAGGTACATTGTATTTTTTCCTCTTCTGAAAGATTCCAGTGGGGTACACTTCTCGGACATACAAGATGAGGTGGACAGCCACTTCCAAAAATTCGGAAAGCACATCAGCGATGACTAGAAAAGGACAGGTGGATAATGAATTGAGGGATAGAGCAAAGCAGGTATGAGTGGAAGTGGGGGCGGGGGGAGGAACTGTTCAGGTACAGCTGGAAAACAACAGGTGACATGCAGGCACAGGTGGCACGCCCGGCAGCTGCGCGTACACCAGGGGGAACCCGGCCGAGCCAAATTCAGGGCCACCGAACGGGCCTGAGGGGTACGCGGCCCACGCAGGGGCCGACAAGCTGGGCAGCGGCGAGCCCCACGCGTGACTGGGCGGGGGATCGGTGGGTGCCTGGGCAAGCCGGTCCAGCAGCCGCCCACCCTCTCGCTGGGCAAGGCGCGGCCTCCGCTCGGAGGGGCCCGTCCGGCACGCGCGCCCAGCGCAGGCGCCCCTACCTTGGCCGAAGTTGAGGTCCTGCCGGGTCAGGGTGGCCATCGCGGCGGGCGCGCGCGCGCGGGGAGC